ATATATATATATATATATATATATATATATATATAATATGATTATATATGTACATTGGCAATATCAAGAAATAAAATTATAATAATTAGGAAAATTGATTTCAAAATTGCCTTAAAAAAGTGTTGTTTTGGCACATTATACTTCTGGCCTAAAACTTTGATCATCATTAATGACGACAATGAATTTAATAAGTCACATAATTCATATTTATTACGTTTTGTACATCTCGTGGATAAACCAAAAATAACAAGCATAAAAACAATTTTGGAAGAGTTCTCTTATAACAAAAGATTTATTTCAGAAATTATTTTTATTATGCGTCAAAACATGTGGTAGAACAGTTAAAGTTACTAACTTTTTATCAGAGCCTTATCTCCTAATTATAAACCTATTGCCGCCCCTCTAACTTAAATGCCTTCTCCTCCTATCGCCCTCATTTCCTACTACATTACCCTCCCACTCCTTATTTTTCCTCTCTTCTTCAATTCCCCATTGCTTCTGATGTACATTTATAGTGCTGATATTAACAATCTGACTCTTAAGCCTTTCGTTCTCTTCTATTTCTTTTTTAACAAATCGAACGATTAAACGAACGATTATTATAGACATTAGGAAAGACAGGTATGTACAACTTATATAATTCTTTATTTTGCGAAAAAAAATCGCGGCAAATTCGTACAATTCGAAATTTGATAGAAAATATTATTATATTGTGTTATTATTATTTATTTCAAATATCTATTAGTATCTATAATAATACCAAAGATGTTGCTGTTTATCAAAATCAGTATGAATTTATTGGATGTAACTGCTCTACACTTGAGATTATACTTAAATTATACTTGAATATGTAATCTATATTAATATGTAATCTATTTGAATATGTAATCTATATTAATATGTAATCTATTTGAATATGTAATCTCTCAAATTTTTGCATCGTCTATACATAATATGTACATATCGGTAATTAATAATATCAAGATCAGACATCTATAAAAATTTATAAAAATGTATAGAATTTGCAATATATAAAAAAACGCAATTTTCGTGATTCGAAGTTACGATTAATTCAAAGCAACCGTTAACATTTCCGTGTATGACCTAAAGTATTTTATCACTAGGAAAATGGCAACCGATATCTTCAGCATAGAACCCAAGATGTGCACAGGAAATAATTTTCTAAAAGAGAAACCTTTAACAATTGCAAAAATGACGGAAAATGAAAATGGCATACAAAATGAAAATAAAATCCATACAAAGGTTAAAAAATGGTTTAATTTTAAGACAGAGTTGAAGTGGATGAATATCGCATTTTTTTTCTCTTACATGGTGGTTTCCTGTATGCGTTGTTTAATTTTAATTGGCTTGAAAATTGGAAGACAACCATTTGGTGTAAGTATATTCTTTGGAAGATGATTAACTTTGATGATTAACTTTGATTTTTCTTCTAGAAAAACTTTAAATAAGCAAAAAACCAGTTTACTAATAGATTAATCATTTTTATACCTCTTTTTACACATACATGGATATTTTAAATATGATGGTTACAATTATATCGCACATTTTTTTAAAACATTGATATTATCTTTAGCAATTATTGGTTTGGAAATTAAGCAATGAAATACATATACATATATATGTAAAATTATAGGGAGCTAGCGATAATAGCTTGACGATATTGAAGACTTCCCTAATGGAAATATTTTTCTAAAAATTTAACGAAATTTTGTTGAAATGTATTTGAAAATTTCTCTCAGTATGACCCTATTAATTAATTTCATAAATATTTCAGCTATTTTTATTACAAAGTAACAATTTTCAGTTTAATTCAGTAAATTTCATAATGATAATTATTTAAAACTCTTTATTACTTTCAGCAGTATATTTAACTTCCTTATATTTATAGTATTACATTAAATTTCATACAGAAATTATGATTATTTGAAATATATATTCAGTAATTTTTCAAAAACTTTCATTTTACTTTTCATTGATTTCATAATATTTTCAGCAAAATATTTCCATCAGGGTTCTGTTCTACTGTACTAATTTATTTATAACAGACATCACGCTGAAAATAGTTTGTTTGTACTGA